GTGAATGGAATTAGAGAGGTGCAGAAGGTATGTATATATCCTGATTAAAAATATCTCAGTACTGTTGGTCACCTCTGCCAGAGCCTTAGAAGAAACCCTTGGATGCTCAAGGACTGAGGGCTTTTCACCGCCCCATTAATGTTGCAAAAAACTATGTTTCAGAGGGTTACCAAAAGTACAAGATTTCCTTAGTGGTAAGTCCCTAAAATGGCTATTGGGGTGCTTGAGAACCCCACCGTGTATATGCAGTTTCCGTCACTGATCTTTACTCTGGCAGCACATATTTGTTGAATAATGATTATGTATGTGTCAGGGATCCAGATCAATTTAAATGAGATGGTGACTCCCATCCAGGAAGCCATAGTCTGATGGAGGAAGTAGGCCCATAAACAGCTAAGGAAGGAGGGCCTACTAAGTATTCAGCCATGCCAGTTGTCAGCTTGGCAAATGCCTTACTCCCAGGGCCAAAGAGGGGAGCTTTACTGCCATCAGCTTCCCTGAAGACTGATAAATTAGATACAGACAGCTAGAACCTAGAGCTGCCAAATAAATCCTTAGGATTGAAATATAGCTGTGCTGTATGTAGAACTGTGAGAACTTGCTCACACCCTAAATGCACTGTACCTGTTTAGAGGTGAGAGAAAATATAATAACAGTGATGATGATAACCATGATGATAATGAGGCCTCTTCTCTGCCTCTCTGGAAGGGAACAGCCTGCAGTGGATGTTGTCTATGTTGAATCGGGCAGAAAAGAGTCCTCGTCTCATGAACACTCATTCACACCCTGCTGGTCACAGTGCATGTGTGTGTATCCGTGTGTGTGTGTGTGTGTATCTGTCTGTATGTTTGTCTGTGTGTCCTCCTCTGTGGCCCTGCGCTTTGAAAAGTGAACTGGGACTAACAAAGGGAGGGGATAAACCAGGAGCTACCCAGCTAGACTCAGGTTCTGGAGCTCGATTTCCTCTGAGGGAATTTATGGTTCTGAGAAAACCACTGTTCTTCCATTAGCTGCTTAGTCAGATATGTGGCTGGGCTGATGGTGGCTGAGCCACTCTCTGGGCACCCTAAGAGGGGTGTTAAGAGATTTTTTCCTCTGCAGCTCAGGGAGATGCTTCTCTTTATCCTCCCAAACCAGAAAAGAAAAATCAAACCAAACACCTATCACAGTAAATCTATCACACGTTTTCCCTACAGATAAACTAGGTATCAACACTTTTTTTTTGAGGAAGATTAGCCCTGAGCTAAAATCTGCTGCCAATCCTCCTCTTATTTGCTGAGGAAGACTGGCCCTGAGCTAACATCCCTGCCCATCTTCCTCCACTTTATATGTGGGATGCCTGCCACAGCATGGCTTGATAAGCGGTGCGTAGGTCTGCACCCGGGATCCGAACCTGTGAACCCCAGGCCACTGAAACAGAATGTGTGAACTTAACTACTGCACCACTAGGCTGGCCCCTCAACACTCTTTCTTTTGTTTAATTGATCAACTTAAAATTCAGAGAAGTAAGTTAATTTGTCTGAAGTGCACAGTTAATCAGACAAATACCATGTATTATTAATGGCCATATTATTAGCTCTTTTAATTCTCATATCTTTTCATCCCCTAGTGTAATTTGGAATAAGTAAATTTCCATTTGCCTCTTTTCCTGGAAATGAATGCACTTTGTGTACTGGAAAATGCCACAGATTTTCTCTTTTTCCCCCACTCATATTTTGTTTGAGTTTCGCCTAAATCTATTTGGCTGATATAAGCTATAAATTAGTTAGCCAATTTTGTCACATCTCTGATCCACAGGATACAAAGTTGGATTCCCTCCCAGTCTTTCTCATTCTGGGAAATTCAGTCATATCCATGACATTTTTTCCCCTAACTTCACAACTTTCTGCTCGGCTGATCGACTTGAAGTTTAAAGAAATATGTTCTTGAATATTTTCTATGTCTTTTGACTGAATGGGGAGGAGGGAAGACAAAGGGTATTATCATCAAATTAACTTCAGAATAAGAAATTTCTTCATAATTATTATTTTTCTCAAAATAAAATAAAATAACGAAAGTTCATTGAGTTTGGGTGCAGTCCCACTGTCTTCAATTGAATGTTTTGGAAACAAAGAAAAACATGCTGTAAGACAGCCCATCTGGTAAGCAGCACAGAGTGGTGGCCTCGAAGCTCACAACTCACAACTCCAATAATGTGGACTTTTGCTGATGAAGAAATCTTTGTGATGATCCAGCCCCGCTGAGCCCTGAGCCTCTCCTGTCTCATTGTGCAGTTGAGACACGAAACGGCTAATTACGTGCCCACTCAAGGTGACTGATAGTGTGTTGATGGCAGGGCCACCATTTGAATCTAGACGTCAACTCTGGACACTGATTTGCTTTTTTTTCCTAAACACGTGACACCATTTAGTAGCTCCGTGCTGCCTCTAAGTAGAGGTCAACTCCACCTTTATCCCCCTCCAACAAGACCCTCATGATTTGTATCGCCAACATGTATACTTTTATTCCCCACTTTGTACAGTCTGTATCTTCTGTGCCTAGCTGTGACCACTCCCCCCCAAACACCACCAAATTTGCCTTGTAAGCGTTCATTCATTTTTCACACCCAGATTGTTACCTCCACCAGGAAGCCCTTTCTACCTCTTTCCCTTCTCACACCCAGTTTTTTCTCTTGCTTCATCATTTATTCAACAAATATTTCTGAGCAGCCACTAGGCACCAGTCACTGAGCTAAGCACAGATCATGCACAGCGAGCACAACTGACCAGCCCCTCATGGAACTTACAGTCTAGTGGAGACATTATAAACAGCAAACACTCAGATCAATATGCAACCACAACTGGGATGATTGCCATGAAGGGAATAAAGACCGTTCCTGGAGCCTGAAGAACCCACCTCCATGTGCCCAGCAGTGGTGAGCGCCTTGGGGATGCTGCCCACCTCAGGGGTTCAGTGAGTGAGGAGGAGGCAGGCTAGGAGTTGGGCGTCTGCTGTCACCTCCTCCCCACCTAATGGCTCCTGAAGAGCTCAGCCTTCTGTTGAGTAAAGGACACACACATATGGTCACCATGGTGAGGCCTTTGGTCAGGTGAGAAGGCGTGATATTAGGGGTGTGAAGGTGATGCCTCCTTCAGATCCCCAGTGAGGGCTGTTCTCTGATAACCTCGATGAGGGGCAAGGGGGACACTCATTGAATAAAACACTGTCTGGGAACATGGATAATGGCCCAACTGGAGTTCTGCTTACACCCTTATTGTTCTTAATTCTATAGGATTAAGAAATAGGGAGTATTAAATTCTCTTTAGAACTGTCTATGGGAAGACACTTGAATACTTTTGTAAAAAGCATTTCAGCTTTTGAAAAGAGTTGAAAGAAGTCTTTAACTATCTCTAAAAAATAAAAGTACACCTATAAAAAGAGAAGATCAACCCCGTACTCAATAATAGGCTCAGAGTTCAGGGGGAACACTCGACAAGACTCTCATTCTCTGGGATTTATTTTTAATTTTAGCAAGAAATACTTGCTCTTGATGTCACAGGATTCTTATGAAGGTGTTTATTCTTCTTTAAATTATGTGAACTTTAAGTTCTTGAACTGAAATGTACTTTGTAAACTCAAAGTATAATCTAAATTACAAAGCTAGCTTGCAGCTTTTATGAACTTGTTACTTTTCTCACCTATTTTTTTCTCAATTTTAGTGGGTCATAGAAAATATATTATTGCATCCATTTGAGTTGAAGCCTTGTTATACAAGCTTTATTTTCTTTTTCTATCATCTTTTAATTCTAAAGAGTATGTTTCCTTTAGGTAAAAAATGAGATCATTGCTTACAGAACCATTAATTATTTAAGGGAAATTTTCCAAATCGCATTTGTTCATATGGAATTGCTCTCACAAATTTCATTCCTCTATATGTGGGAGTCAGCAAAACAAAGATTTTAATAAAATCAAGGTGACAAATATCTCAAGATGTTTGAAATATTTTACTTTGTATACTTAAAGTATAGTAGTTCATATTAGGAGTCTTGTTTATATTTTTGAAATTCTTTTAGTTAGTCTTTTATAATTATTAAAAGTAATAAACTAAAGTGTTCATAAGAAACATTTAAAACTGTAATATGGAAAGTTCGATTAGGTTGTCTTCTTAAACATTTTTTAAAAAGAAAAAATAATACCACCCAATATGTTGAAGTTTGTTTTAAATAGGCCTCTCTTCCAGGGTATCCATACCATAGACACTCAGTGGAAATGCAAACTACTTTTTATAGTGCCTATTACAACATATTATTAGCAATAAACAGATTTTTTTCTGTTAATTATAAGTGACGGAGAAATCTCTACAAGTTAATATATACAATATTAGAGAAAAGTGCTTTGTCAATTTAATGGATTATTGTAGTGAATTTTGATTCCAAAAAATGTCATGGAACAAATATTTGCTTACTGGCTTAATTTGAAAGGTTCTGAAAACCCTTCAGCGCAAATGATCTCCCTCATTGGCGCCCCCAATTTTACCGTTCGCATTTCATTTCCTTTCTGCTAGGCTGTGCTTCTCCTGGTGGGCTTTGTGTAGGGTCTTTTTTTCAATGTGTTCTATTTTTGAAAGGACCGTAATTCTCCAGGATGCTTTAGAGAGCTTGATTCTCTCCAGCAAACGAGTTGCCTGGGGGGACAGGGAATCTGAAAGGAGCCAGACCAAGAAGTGGGGTTGCTGTAGGGCCTGCCCAGAACAAGGAGTGATGGGCCCTGATCATATCTGCAATTATCAAACGTTTCTGGGTGGCAAACGTGTGTCAGGGGGACATGTGAATATTGTGACATGCCAGAGGTTTTAGCCTGAGGGCTTTCTCTCATGAATTCAGCGCAGTGATCAAAAGGTTTGCATTGGTCTAACTTATTCATTCCTTCAATGAGAACTTAAAAATGAAAGAGATGGTTAAATGCTGACAGAAGTGGAATTAAACCAAAATTAATTTGTCCTTCACTGTTGTGTGTTTCAGAGACTGGAGCACAAGGAAGTTTTAGTGGGCTTGTCGTTCCTGGTTTTCCCGTTCATTCCAGCCAGCAATCTCTTCTTCAGGGTGGGTTTTGTGGTGGCCGAGAGAGTCCTTTACATGCCTAGGTAATTATTGCTCATGATTTCCTCGTTACGAGACCTGCCCTCTGTCACCAGCACTGATAGTTCCAGAGAGACAGTCGTTTGCATGTGTAGCAGTTAGATCCTTGTGGAGCTAAGGAGTTTATTATCTCAGCTTTAAAAGCAGCCACGGAGAAGTCTGGATGAGGTCGAGTTCACACACATTCACTCTAGTCTGCAATGGCTCGCCTCCAGGTGAAAGCAGGACAGTTAAATGTGAAATCCTGACCAGAGTATATGCAGGATTTTAGCAGCAGTTACCACAGTATCTGTGTTTTATTAAACATAATGATAGTAACTTTCTAGAAATATTTGTTGATTTGCATAAAATCATTAATTAAGTAGCATGTTTGCAATTAACTTCTTCCTTCTTTCTCTCTCTGTCTCTCTTTCTTTGTTCTTTAAAAGTAAGAACAATCTCAAGAAAATTTGTTCTTGAGAAAAAAAATGGTTAAAAATTATAAAGGGCATTCAGACGCATATGATTACACGATGCCACTTGGTTCTGAATATTTGAATTGTGCTGAAGGTTGCTGTTCTCTTATCTTATTCAAATATCATCGTTCCAAGGCCACATTTCTTTTCTGATGCCCAGAAATGTCCCTGAAATGGTTCTGCCATTTATCCATTGTGTGACCTTGAGCAAGACATGAAGTTTTTTGTACCCAGTTTTTCTCATTCTTAATTGGGATTTAGTAATTGGGATTTTAGTAAACTTCCTAAAATTAAGTAATTTTATGAATGATATGTAAGAATGAGCTTTTCTAAAAGGCAGTATCATAAATCAAAATATTGTAAGGAAATCATTTTTTCTTTGTTGATATTGTTAGAAATTTAAAAATATGTATCATTGGAAATGAATTTCATATCCTTTAATTCCCCCCAAACCAAGACCCCAACAGCTTTCTTAAGACTTGATGCTGTATTATTTTGATTTGGTTAAGGAGAGGACAACCCTTAATTCTTTTTGTGTTTCTGCAGCACAGTTTTGGAAGGAGATTATTTCTTGATAAATACTATTTAATAAGGACAAAAATACAACACAAATTCCTTGTGTCCTGTATTGTTTTAAGATAACAGGCTCATGAGGCCTTGCCAATAATAAGGATTATGAAGGGCAAAAGTGAATATCAGTGTCTGTTCTAGCTGTATTTTCTTAGACCCTTTGAAAGTGGCTTCAGTCAGGTTTTCTCTGTAATACTGATGATTCCAAGTGCAATCTCTATTCATTCGTCATTTAACAGATATTCACAGAGCACCTTTGTCAGACATGCTCTACTAGAATCTGAGGCTACAAAAATAATTGAATCTCAGTTTTTTCCCTCAAAGAGTTTATTAACTGCTGATTAACAAAGTAGAGTCTTACATTCTAAACATTTAGTGAGTCCTAGTATTCTTTAAAATGGTATCATACTCATTAATGCTATTTTAACATTAAATGTATCAAACTTTTATTGAACTTTCGTAATATGTCCATCACTATGCTAAGCATGTTGTATTTATTTCATCAATTAATTGACACTGTAGCTGGTAGTTCACAGCATGTCCCTGAGGTCAGAGGGCCTGTGTTGGAATTCTGACTTAGCCATGAGTGTGCGGTCCCTAAGCGTCAGTTTTTTCATCTGTATAAAATGAAGATAATAGCACCCAACTCAATAAGAGATTGTGAGCATTAAATGAGTTGATCGTATAAAAAGCTTAGGAAGTGTTTTCCGTTGTACATGATCAATAAATATTATATATTGTTATTGTTGATATCAGCTTGCTGGGGCAGCTGGTACCATCATCCCTGTTTTACAGAAATAAAACTTGGGCTCCGACAAGTTAAGTAACATGCCCACAGTGACCTAGCTACTAGGTGGCAGAGTTGGGATGCAAATCCTTGTCTACCGACAGATCTTTCGTCTTCCAGACTATATTGCTTCTCTGATAGTAACATCTTAGCATTCTTCTCAATTGAAAAAGAAGGAGGAGAAAATCTGAACATAGTAAAGTACTTTCAGCCCAACTCCATCTGATGATCAAGACTTGATACTTCCGAGAGTCCTGTAGCAAGCTTTTCTAATCCAAATACAGGAGAATAATTTATGAGGAGATAAAGGGCTGGAATGTTAAACAAGAAGTTAAAATTTCATTCTTCTGGAAGAGACATAATGGAAGCCCATAATATTGTCATCAGCCATTTGCGGGGTGTCTCATTTAAAGACTCCAGGGATGTGTGTTCTCCAAACACCCACAGCATCGTGCCAGCTCTGACTCTTCCTGTGCTGCCATATTCTAAATAGACCATGTTCTGACTCCATTTCATTTTCTCTAAAACAGACAGAGTAGTGCCCCTGCCCTTTTCCTCCAGGAATAAGCAGATTTGGACTAAAAGTAGTGTTCTGAATATGAAGAAAACATCAGTGTTAGCAAGAGCAAGTGCCTGCCTCTTAGAACCAATCTGGATTTTGCTGCATTTGGCAAACTGGGTGCAGAGTCATCCAAAATCAATTCCAGTAAATTAGTCTTCATTAAAAAATGATTGTTCTTTTCTTTCCAAGTTCCTGCATCTATGCACTGTAGCATTGACGCTGTCATCATTTTCCAGGGCTTTCTCTTGGATTAATATCCATATCTCCTGGATTAATATCCACATCATCACTGTGCCCAGCCAGGCCACTTTCCCCTCCAGCGCTGTAGTCTCAGTAGATGCCAGAGCCATGTGCTTTCCACCCCTTAGAGATGGTCCTGGAGGCTGATGAAGAAGTCAGATGACTAGGCCAGGCCCACAGCTCTGCACAAACCTGAGAGTTTAACTCATATTTGAGGAGGCTGGAGTTGGAGGAAGCCTAGGACTTTTTGAGTGAGACATACCTCTCATGAATCCCAGTCTCTCTTCACAGGCATCATTGTAACTAACACAAGGAAGCTCGTTCGCTATGGCACTGGATTCCATGTTACCTAAAATTGTGCAACTGATGTGGTTCAGGCTGAGTCAGAAATTAAAGCCTGCTTGGGCAAACTTCTGTGCTGTGGCTTCAGAGAGTTTCTAATGACTTCCTCAGGGCCAGTTTATGAACACTGACAGTTTTCTTTGAAAATGAGGGACTTTCTCTGGAAAAGATTTTACTCAGCAATGACCAGCCATCCTGTCTCAGTGGAGAATGGTAGACAGTTGGCCGAGAGCTGCAGAAGTCTCCCCCAGGGCCACAGAGGATCTTTCAGAGGCTGCAGCCATCCATCCCTTGGAAGGTGGCAGAGCATTTAATTGTTGCGTTTAATAAACCTACACATTGGCTTTAATGATGATGAAGAACATGTCCCAAGCCTTTTATAGACTTCTAGACACACAGATCTTATAGATCTTCTCTGTATGACTCTTCTTCCATTATTGACCTTGACAAAAACAGCCATTTTCCTCAGCATTAGTACCCAGGTGCTTTGAGGAAAACATATATACAGTTTACTTGATGACATTCCTGAAAATACGGGTCATCATCTTTATGCAGAAATTCTGTGTTGTCTCAAAATCTTTAGCCAATGGGAAAATGAAATCAAAAGCTCAGTTGGTTATCCTTCTGAGGAAGGTGCACTTCCTGTTCCTTAAATGCTTGTTTCAGGTTATCGTGGAGCCAAATCCTGCCCATAGATGCTCATCCATGAACACTACGAAAGTCATGCCCACTCTCACTGAAGCCTGGGTAAGGCCCATCAGGCCCAGGGGGCTGATTTGCCATTTTGTTAAAAAAGCCCAGAATGAGTCAGACCAACGGAGCTCTTTCATTCTCCGCTTTACGCCTAACAATGAACAAGCCACTTAAATCTTCTGGCTTCTGTTCTCCCTCCGTCCTAACCTAGAAAGATGCAAAATATTGCCTTCCTCTTACTTGCACTTTGAAGTCTGTGGATAAAAGGCACAGAAATAGGCTATATATTTAGCACTGCGTGGCTTTAGGTCAGGGTTTTACCACCGAAAGAAACCGGAATCATCTTTTCTTCTGGTGGAAAATGCCAATTTTGTGGATGTCCTTTTTGAACAGGCAGGAGAGTTCAGGGCTTAAATCATTCTTTCACAAAAATTTTGGTCTCTTATTCTTACCTCAAGAGAAGCATATAATTTTATGGCTTTTTTTTTTGTATTTTATACAAACCACATTAGAATGTTTCAAAAGACTAAAATTTCTTAGAATCAATGAAGCAGAAATAGTTGTTGAAAGCTCTCAAGTAAAGTCTTCGAATGTGATCAGATAGCCATTCATGTGCCAGATTAAAGATGATTTATGCACTTCAGCGCCAAGAGCAAATTCCTAAACTACTTTAAGAAAACATAGGTGAGTGGAGAGGAGAAAAGAATAGACAGGAAGAATTGAAGGCAGAAACAATATTATGGATAGAACTGATTGAGAATAATTGAGACCACAGGAGAAGTTATATAACATGTATTTGAGGGAAGAAAGAAAAATAAAAAGTTGCCCTGTTCTTAGAAAGAAATGCCATTTATAGTGTATAGTCCCTAAGCTTATAGACACATGAGACATGGGAAATTGGAAAAAAGATGTCTCACATTCACTTTTGAGAAATATCTTCAAATCATACCTGTCAATGGAATTTTTAATCTTGTGCAGGTTGCTATTGAAACAACACTGCAGTATTTATTTCTCAGGGTGCCAAGTGGGAAATGTTCTCTCTAAAGTAACACTTCCTATGTTATCTGATCTTGGGGACCCATCCTGATGAGTCATCTATGTATAGGCTTCTTCAGAGCTGCTGGAGGAGAGTGATGATTATTTCAGAGTAAATCAAAGTTTTGCCAACTATTAAAACCAGCAGAGAAATGGTTTGCTATCAACAAAAACTTAGTTTTGCAAATCCAGTCGGAAGAAGACTGACTAGGAATCAGCGTAGCCCAGTCTGTCCCCCACTGCCTGGCAGTCTTGGGGGAATCATTTTCCTATCTGTAAGACCAGAGGGTTGACCTTACTCAGAAGTTCCCAAATATTGCT